ATGCACCTTAATAGTTTAATTCTGCCAATATCTGCAGAGAGCACAGTCTTTTCTTTCGTGAATTAAGCTGGGAGCTGTGCAAGTCTTTTCCCTCTCATAACCCTTTTACATTTTGAGTGAGGCCGTCTCTTGAAATGAATAAAAAAGCACTCTACAAAGATACGAAATGCCAGAGATTACTGAGATCATAGAAAAAGTGGAGAAGTTTATAGCTATCCATTAAAAGCTTTTTCTCCTCTTCATTTTCCTTGGCACAAGTTACCTGTAAAAATTATGAAAAGAGTAAACCAGCTTCACATGAAAATTAAGCCTATATTTAAAACATTGTTTTCATCCTGCTTTTTCGTTTTCCAGTCTTGAACCCACCCAAAACAGTGATGAGATTTTAAGCAGTGATAGATAATGAGTTCATTCTTCACTTTATTTTTCAGCCTTCTCAGCCTTTCCTCCATAGCGATGAGATCAGACATTTCTTTTTTTTTTTTATGAAAGCTGAGAATTTTTTTTAAAAAACACAATATTTCAGGCTCCAGAGCTCAGAGAAAAAACAGACTTTGTGAAAATGACAGTAAAAAAATGGTGAGAGTTGGCAACACTGACTAGAGTGAAGCTCATTTTTAATTTGAACCACCAGATGTAGACTGAAAGACTAAATAGAGTCAGATATTAGCAGCAACAACAACAAAAAGTAATATGGCTTTGCAAAGATGTTACTCCTGTGAGTAAAACATGTCTCTCTGTGTGCCAGATCATTGGCAGTACAGGAGGACATCAGTATATCTAGCTAGTTTTGCCTAGTTGGCCATTTGTCAGCTATATGTCAAGTAACAAAGCATAGTCAAGTCCTTATGATGAGTAATGTCCCCTATAAAACACGGTGCACGTCACCACTCAGCAGCAAAAACAAACACATTTTTGTGGCATATGTGATAAGCAGAAGGTAGTTGTACACATCCTTAATATTAAAAATGGTGGCTGCAACTCTGGTGCAGCTCCCACGGGAGTCTGGATGTCTTTCCATGAGCTGGGAACAGGAGCTTTGCAAGACTGAAGTGTCCCATTGCACATTGCTGTCGCTCTCACCATGGAGCTTCCCTGGGAGCAAAGCTGTGTCACCAGCAAAGTGAGACTGGTGTGGGACACTGGTGGCTATCGCTAGGTCCCTGTGCCTCGTCCTTTTAGCCCATAGCTTTGATTGGGGTAGCAGGTTATATAACATGGGTTTAAAGGATTTCTGGGACTGGACCATTTTGCAGATGAATCAGCAGTTTCTAACCCCTCCCTGCTGGGATGGGATCTGTTTGCTTCGCAGGGAGGCTGCAGACTTTTTTTGTTACCTGATTAAATTGGCAAAATTCTGGTAATACCTGCTCACTTCTGAATTAAAGAAAGGACTTCTCAACAAAGCAAAGGGGTACCCCTTCTTCTGGCTTCATCTTTTGGATGGGTGTAAGAATAAATTCAAGCTTTCCTTTCTGTCCTGAACATACATCTCAAAGTACAATCCCTTTGCCTTCAGGTTCAGCTTTGCTGCCACTGCTGAAAGTTGTGCCAAGCTCTGTATGGGGAAGAGCTGTCCCGCAGAACCCAGTGCGGGGCTTGGCCGTCCCAGGGCAGCCAAACTGAGCCTACTGGGGGCTCTGGTTCTCAGTGCCTGCCTTCCTGTGCTGATGGCAGAGACAGGAGGACCAGCAGCCAAAAACAGCTTGAAGAAATCTTTGCAGTGGCAGCTCTCTGAGGCCCTGGAGCAAATGTTTGAGCCCAGGATAAGTGAAGGGATTTTATGTTTCACCTCCTGGGCCCACAGGCAAAACCAGCTGGCAGGGCAGTGCCATTTCACCACCTCTCGTCTGTCAGCTGTGCCACAGCCTGAGGCATGGCCTGGTGTAGAGGCGTGAGACCAGTACAGCCCTCACCTGGAGGTGTTTGCTGAAAGGGATTTGTCTCCCGGTTGAAGCCATCTTTCCTCTCTGTCTAAAATAAATAACTGAGTGAGCATGGGACTTTTAGAGTAAACAAAGACCAAGACCAAGATGTTACCAGATGCGAATGGCTAAAGGCTGAAGGAAGAGAAAACACTGTTCTAGAAATCTCTGGGGTGGTATGGGACACACATAAATGCCATTTTTGGAAGGGAGAAGGGAATTGCAAGTGATGGTCACTGTATAAACAGTGATGAAAGGGGGAGGTGGAAGTTACTATTTCATGGCTGAGTGCTTTCAAGGGAGCTTAGGCGACGCTGTGCAGTTCTCATGCTGCAGTGCTCTGGCATCTCAGCAGTAAACTGCTTTTTGGTTCCTTGCACTGTTAGCTAGCTGAAAAAGCTTTGAGTGATGAGCAAGCAGTGCATGTCTCCCTTCAAGAAAAAACATTAATTCAGCTTTTGTTATTCCTTTAAATCTTCTTTTCTTCTAATAGGATCGTCAAGGATAAGAAAACAGCTGGATAAATGAGAATCTGGTGGTCAGTTGTTTGTCCCGGTATTAGATGCCAGGTTTATTCAGAATATGGTTACTTGCCATTAAAATCTCCTGCACTGAGGAGTGCAATATGCATTATGTATTAGCATATTGCTAATGTTGTCCCCATCACACTGCAGCCTTTAGCACCTCCTGTTAACAAACTGAAGTTTCCTGGGGGACCTCCTGGTGTAGCATAGGCAAGCCAACTTGCAGACTATGTAATCCCTTGAAGTCATAGGACGTGCCGTTGTAACCTCTTGGACCTTCTGTTTTCTGTGGAAGCCGGTCACCTGGGGCTCTGGATGCGAGTGGAAAAATCTGCGTGGCCGCAGTTGAATCCCCAGCATGGCAGCGGAACGGAGAGTGCCATGGGACTGCAGCTCTCAGCAGGGAAGAGGCAGCAGCCCCACAGCACACGGGCTGCCACAGACGAGCAAAGGGAGAGAGTCAGCCTGCAGCCGTGCTGCAGTGCACCCCTGCCCTGTGCTGAGGCGGCAGAGGTTTGTTTTCTAGGATCTGGTCTGAAAAAGCAAAGTGCAGGTAAAGCGATGTGCTTGTTCTAAGGATAAAAGTCTAAGTCAGGCTTCCTGGAGCTCAATCCTTGGGTGCACTGGGGCAGTGCTTGGCGTAGGAGGGAATGGCAGGTTTTTGTCCTCTTTGGCTGTTTGCCTTCAGTCTGAGACCAAATGTTGTGGCCAGTGGCGAAGCTCAGAGTACCTCTCAGAGCTGCACTAAACTGCACAAGCTTGCAGCCGGCTCTGAGGGCCGCTGGACTGCCAGGATGCACCAGGATGTGGAGCTGGCTGCCTGCTCCCCTCTCCTCCCTGATGCCCCACTGCTGGGAGGTGTGATGGGCAGGTCCCCCCCATGCAGTGCCCTGTCCAGCCCTGCACGGCCTCTCAGGAGGCAGCAGGCCACTGACACAGGACGGGCTCCTAGGTCTGAAATTATAGTTTTCAAGAATAAATGTGTATTTTAGGTATGACATTTAGCTTCTCGGCTTTCACTAAAGATGAAGTAACAGCTGTGACAGATTAGGTTATTTTATAACCTAAACATTAAAAGAAAGCGCTTCAGATGTAGAAGGAAGCAAATGCAGCAGTGAGGCAGGGTGGGTAAATAGCAGCACACATGTTTGATAAAAGTTGCATGACAGTTCAGTTTCTTCTGCATTGTGTCACTTGATGGATCCTCTCTGAAGGAGTTGTATTGTGAATCTCATACAGGCGGGAAATTTCTTCTGTTCCTCCTAGTTGTCCTCAGCTGCACTTCTTTATGTGACATCTGATTTTACAACCATTGTCAATGAAAACCATACAGTAGCTACCACTGTAAAAATTTTAAAATCAGATATCTTGTCTTTGATTTGGTAAATAAGGGCATTTTCCCCAAACCGTAATGACATACATTTGAATTCATAACCCAAAACAGCTCTTGCAAAGCGGAGCTTTGCAGACACAAACTGGAAAGACAGGAAGAATTCCCCATACAGGTTCATTTCTTTGACATGTTCCTGCTAATCTTTTAATTGGTTCCATTTTAGAAGAAAGTTGTGCAAAAGCCCCCAATATGTTGTAAATGGAGAATTTTGCTTCTCAAATGTGGAAAAGTACACCCCCAAGCTGCTAGAGAAACAAGTTGAGAATATAGGAATTGTGTAATCTGTGCCTATATGATGTTGTATCATCCTGAGGAACGGAGGCAGTGTAACTAAATTTATACTCATCAGAGATTATGCAATATAATCACAAAACAACCACATTCATAGTATCATATAAATCAGGGTTTTTTCAGCAAATAGGTCTGAAATACCACACAAGTCACTATGACTATTTAACTTCAAGACACAGGATTTTATCCATTGTTGTTAGACTTTTTGTCCATTGCCCCCAGATGAGTATATAAACCCGACTGCTCTCATGTACCCTATCTTCTATTTTTTTTCATCAGCATTTGTCTTCAGAAGGAACCAGTTCCATTAAATATCACCTAATCCCAGCCTCTTTACTGGGCATAAGAACCTCCTGCCCTCTTTGGATTGCAGTGGAGAATGGCATATGCAAGTAGGAAAAAAGGAGTCATCTCCCCATGGCCAATTCTCTGTGTCTTGCTGTCTTGCTCAAAATCCAGAGGCAGAAAATAACTATTCCCCCTTTAAAGAAAATAAATTAGACTTGCTCTTAATTTGCCTCTTCTGCTCCCTGGAAGAGCTGTGGTCTCCCCACTTTGCAGGTGAAGGAGGGCTTCTCTTTCTCTTTTATCAGCCCTAGTTTTGTCGCCACACCTTTGCAGTGCTCCTACGACTGCTTCCCTCAGTGTGACAGGGACCGAAGGACAAATCCGTGCAGTTACACAGAGCAGCTCCGGTGATTTCCTGCAGCCCTCTGCATCATCCCCGCTCACACCTCAGGAGATTCCCCCAGTCTCACTCAGCCATGCACAGAGCATGTACACAGCGGCCTTGGGGGGCCCCTGGCATTTGGGATCAACCCCTCATGCCAGCTAGCAAAGAGCAGAGGGAACCCCTTCCTGAATGCCATGGCTATCCATGACAAGGGACAGCGCGGCTGCAGGGGAAGTCTGCTCCGGCTTCTGGCAGTGAGTAACATCGCCTTGGCCTCAGCAGCGTCCTTACGGAAGGTCTTGGTACTCTCTGCACAACTAGAGCAGCACAGGAGGAGTTAAATGGTGATCGTGATGGGCAAGGCCTGCGCATTTTGCAAGGAAAATGTGCAAAAAAACAGATTGCGCTTTGCTAAGGCTTTCAGCATTAGCAAACTCAATATTCTACTTCTGAAAAATATTGTAACCTCAGCTTATTGGGGCTGTTCCATTACTGTCTTTTAGATTTCTTGCTTCTTCTGTGTTGACTAAAACGTATTCAGAAAAGGTTGAAGATTTCCCTGTATTTTTTCAAGAAGCAGATGTAATTTCTCACCCCTTCTGACACTCAAAAATAACCAAATACGCTTTGGGTCAGAGCTCGGGAATGGCAAATTTCGGAAGGATGCAAAACAACTTTCAAAGGAGGTTGCACTAAAAGCTGCTATACCAAGTAATAACCTGCAGGCCCTAAAATAAGGGTCTTCCCTGATTAACACAACCTCTCGGAGGGAGAACCCGTGTCAGTCCCTGCCATTGTTTTCCACTCTCAGGCTTGCTGAGGAATTGATGGGAGAAAGAGGGAGGGGAAAAGAGGGCAAATTAATTAACGCCAGCTATCTTATTCCTAGTATGCCGACAATCTCTGCACTTGGAACGTGTAGCTGTGGCGTCTCCTTTACTGGGGGCGAGCACTAGTCCCCTGCCGCTGAGAGGCGGCCGGCACGTCCTGCACAGGTGGCACCTCTGGTCATGTTGCTCTTCTGCCTTCTGAACCTAAAGTTTGTCTGTCGAGAGAGTAATTTGTCAGTTCCAAACACAGTAGTGTCCCCAGACACGGTCGGCCTGTGGCTCTCCTTGTTATGTTCACCTAGATCCCTTTGAAAGTGGAGGTCTGGGCTTTTTGAGTTTGCTTATTTGGAGAGGCCAGACGGCAGATGCACATGGCACCGGTGCAAGTCACAACACAGGTTACTACCGAAGGATGCAGAGGAATAATACTGCTATTTTAATGCATGTTTCCTTTTTTTTGCAATGAGCGTGCTATTAATACTGCAGTCACCAGAATTTTGTTGTTGTTGCTTAGATCAAATAGGAAAGGGACGGAGGTGAGGAGCCGCTGTTGTTCTGCCTGCTGCTGTGCAAGATGAACTGATGAATAATGTCCTTGTAGTTGCACTCTGCTGTGACCAGGATCCAAGTTCAAAGACCTGGTTTCAATTACACGTTTGCCCATATATGTATCCTCAACAATGACAAGACATGCATAGTGGACGACATAGTGCATGTACTGGAGGAATTAAAGGCTGCTCGTTCTTCTAATCGAACTAATTTTGCAATCACTTATCCAATTACTCACTTAAAGGATGGCAGGGAAGTGTATAACGGGCATCAGCTTGGTGGGGTTACTGTGCACAGCAAAGACCGGGTGAAGTCTGCAGAAGCCATTCAGCTCACCTACTACTTGCAGGCAATCAACTCCTTGAATGACATGGTGGCAGAGAAGTGGGAATCCATTTTTTGTGACACTGTTGAACTTTTCCAGAAATCCAACAGGAAAGTCAAAATGTATCCTTTCACTTCTTCTTCGCTGAAGGAGGATTTCCAGAAGACGAGCAGGGTGTCAGAACACTACCTGATCACAAGCTTGGTCCTTGTGGTCACCTTGGCCATTCTCTGCTGCTCCATGCAGGATTGTGTCCGCAGCAAACCCTGGCTTGGCCTGCTGGGATTGCTGACCGTGACCCTTGCCACCCTGACTGCAGCTGGGATCATCAATCTCACTGGTGGGAAATACAATTCCACCTTCCTGGGAATCCCCTTCATCATGTTAGGTAACTATCTCCTATCTCCTCTCTTTTGTGTGTTTGTGCCTCCCTGATGCATTTCCCAGCAAGCAGAGAAGCATCACTGCATGGCTCCCAGTGCCTCCTCCCTGCAACGCTGCCCTGTGCCAAATCCACATGGCCTCTTTTCCTAAACTGTTTGTACCGTGTCGGGATGTTAAAACCATGTCTGGGGCTCTGGTGTGGCATAGTGCCCTGCCATAGGATGCGGTGGCGAGGAACAAGGATGTGCGAATGCTGTGGCTTGTGCAGAGGGGGAGGACAGCTGCTGCTTTTCTGTTTGATTCTAGGTTTGGTGGCCAGCATTGGAGGGAAATCTTTGCAGAGGTCCCCATGCCACAGTGGCGGCATCAGCTGTGCTGGCAATTCAAAGTGGTGCACATGTTGGGCATTTTTAGAGAGCGTTGGCTCCTTTGAAGAGCAGAGCAGTGCTGTGCTCCTGGCTTGGCAGGCAACTCTCCATGGGATAAGGGTGGTGGTCAGTTCTGGGTTGCGTTTCTCCTGAAGCCCCTGTGTTGGCTGAGCAAGCATAGGGAGGGTTTCACAGCCCTGGGGTGGAGAGCTTTGCCTCCCCTCGTCAGGGACGGACGTGTCCGCTTAGTGCCAGCACATCCTGTGGCAGAGGAGAAGAGCGGCATTGTCCGCTCCCTGGCCCTGGTACCAGCAGAGGCGTCTGCACCTCCCCGGTTTTTGTACCACCTTCACTTACTGTGGGTGACAAGGTGGTTTCATTTTGTTTCGTTTTCCTTGAAGGTAGGAAAGAGGAGGAGAGAAGGGCAGCCAGCTTGATCCCGACCCGAAATCAGTGCCCTCTCCTGTGGGCACCGGGGAGTTTGTGGGGATGCCGCATATTGTATCCAAGTAGACAGGAGGACTTAACGGGAGACAAAGCGAGAGCTCTGGAGAGTTCACAGCCTCTTTGATTGTGTTTGGTTCATAACCAGTGTGAAAAGCTTTGTGCGCTGTAGGTGTTTAATATGTCCTCGTTCATGCCATTATTCACTTGTGGAGAATAATACATGCATTGATTTGATCACAGCTTCCCCAGCTGAAAATCAGTGCTCAGTAATACTTCAGGTTTCAAGTGTAAGAGCATCTCCACTGACTTAGTCACATCGTATAGTTATATGACACGTTTCAGTGCAGCTATTTTTATATCCAGGGCCAGGTTCTTATGCCATGCCTGTACCGTAGCTGTGGTATTGTTGCACTTTAATTAAAGACTATGCTTCAGTGCATCGCACTACCAGTTAACGTACAGAATATATTCAGTGACAGAGCGAATTCAGCTACATTACATAGGCTCTCATTTTCAGATGACATCCATGAAAATTAAAATGTATCATAATCTAGAGGAAATGCAGCACGAGAACATCAGAGTCAAAAGGTGTCTAGCTTTCTGATCTGAGTCTTTGGTGTCTTCAGGTGGTTTTTATGCCTGTGCATGTATTATCAAATTCAATACCTCAAATAGTGTATATTACATATAATATTACATAGGAGGGGGTTTCCAGATGTGTTGCAAGAGTTGTAGAAAAGCAGTTTGAAGTCCAGCCATATGAAATGAAAGTACCTGGGGAAAGCACCCCAAAATATGAAGTACTAGCTCTGTTTAGGGATCAAAGCATCTGCTCGCTGGAACAACCTTTCAGATCTTTAATTCACTAATAGTGACTATGCTGAGACTCGAAATCCTTGAAGACTTGTAGATAACTATGAAAAATTTCACGCTTCTATTTTAGCGCTCCTTTAACTGCCGAGATGTATAGCCATCTCTGCTTTTCTTTTCCTTTTTTTTTCTGAGGTTTTTTTTGGTCTTGCTTAGTTGAAGTATTCCACTCTTAAAAGGAGTAAGTTTCAAACATGCAGCTCAGCTTTCACTGTGAACAAGTCGAGACAGAGCAGCCAAGGTGATGTGAATCTTGCCTGCTTCCCCAACTGCATAAAATCTCCTGAGGGACAAGAACATCAACAGGTGAACAGAAGGCACTAAAGACATTCCGGAGTTTTTCATGAGAACTGTTATAAACCAGCAGATAGCTAGAAAGGCAGTGTTTCCTCTTTTTTTTTTTTTTTTTCATGCAGTAAAACAGAAAGATTCAGCATGTGTTTCAAAATTTATTTCATGCCTATATGTTATTTTGCTTACAAAGGATGGTTTAATTCATGGTAACTGAAGGTAGAGACACAAAGCACCCTCCCTTATAGCCCGCTGAACTACTTCCACTTAATTTCAATGACCATCAGATTAGATCATAGATTAACTGACCTTTAAAAAGCTAAAGGATTTCTGGCTAACAGTGTAGCTCCGTAGCTATTACTCATAAGCTCATGGCTAAAAGCAAAAATTAGATAGAAAAAATGATTACACTGGACACATTTCAGGCAAGGCCCCTTTACTAGTATAAATCATTAACGTAGTTTCCCTGGTTTATAGCAGCTGAGGATTTTTAACTTTTCATCAGCATCGCAGAGCCAGCAAGGGGACAGTCTGCAGACATCATCTGCCCTCTACCGCAGGACAAGATTACGTCTTTCCTAGCAGATGCTTCTCGCCCTGCACTTCGTCTTCTCTTTGGTTGCTTTCCCCTGTGTTTCACTGCACTACCACCACGGCGTTTGCATCATGTCTAAACTGAATTCCCCTTTTGTAACTCAGCTGTCCTCTTTATTTATCCACTGCATCTGGAAAACAATTTCTTTTCTTTTTCTTTGCATATTTGGGGCCACTCTCACTTTCCCAGTCCTCTTTCCTTCCATCTCAGGTTTCTTCAGACTATGCTTACCAGCTAGCAATCTTCTTTCTTTTGGCATCTTCCATGGAGTGTGGTGCCTAAATCTGGGCGCAGGATTCAGGCTGAGGCTTTCAGCAGCAAGTAGAGTAGGAGGATGATTTCACACATCTTGCATATGGCACTCCTGTTCATACATCCCCATATGACATTCTTTTTTTTCTAAGTGGTAAGAAATGGTTGGCATTTGGTTGGTGGCACATGGTAATTCACAGATCCTTTGTGTCACTTTCTACCCTGTTTGCACAATCAGTTATTCCAACCAACATGTAGGAGGTTACCGTTGTCCTTGCTGAATTACAGCTCGTTTGTCTCACACCATTTCTCCTGTTTATTCGGTTCATCTTGATACCATCACTGCCCTTCCCAGATGCACTGACTAAAGCTGGTCAGCAACGTTTTGCAATTATCTGCTCTTTCATATTTTCAATAATTATTTTCTGAGTAGTTTAAATACTTTCATAGAATCATTAAGGTTGGAAAA